TATATACATATATATATATATATACATATATATATATATATATGTATATATATATATAAAATTGTAATTGGTTTAGACCAATCTGCATTTCAGATAACGGGAATTCTGTCATTATCCTCAATCAATCCATCAATCAATCTCTCATAAAATAAGAAGTTTTTATCTTTAAGTTAATTTCTACTTTCAAAACCCAAACATTTTTATTTGTTATCAACTACTATTTTAGTAAAAGTCTTTCAAGAGATGGGGGAAGTAAAGACCTCTGTCTCTGAATATGTGATAGTGAATTAAAGTATGTTTTATATCGGTCTGGAATATTAGGCTAAACAATCGTCTCCCTGGGGAGAAAAAACGGTTCCTAGAAAACACAGTTGAGTAAGTCATAGTTACTTCACACACACACACACACACACAGACACACACACACACACACACACACAGAATACAAAAGGAAAAAGAAAGGGGAGGAGATAGGGAGGGAGAGGGGAGAAAGTGAAGGATGGATGGATCAAGAGACTAATCATATTCCTGAAAGACTAGTCAAAATTATATATGTTATAAAAATAAAGCATTTAAAAAAGTAAAATAGTTGTACTCGGCATTTTCTAAGGACCTGATGCTGAGCTAACTGCTGTGAGCAATTATACAAACGAAGCCAATTCCAAATGGAGTTGGAGCCACCACCTTGAACATCTTACTCCCTGAACCCTTAGAATGTTTAAACCGGGAAAAATAATCTTTGAATTGGGCCAAACCAACACTGTATTCCAAACAACTGTTTGTAGAGCTAACAGAAAAGCAGGCATCCCAACTACAAGGACTGAAAATTAAAGTCATTCTTCAGGATCAGCAAACAGTCATGGGTAGCTAAAGAATAATTTAGCTTATTAGCACTGATTGAAATTATTTCCCTTCCCTTTCTCATAAAAACCCCTTGCCTTCACTCCATAATCAGAATACTATTTGGGTTTTTGCCTGAATCGATGCTTCCCAGAACTACAATTTGGATCCCAAATAAATCCTCAATTTCCTCTTACTTTGGCTTTTTGTTTTAAGGTTAACACTGTTTTACATGCATTATAATCTCATTGAACTCTCAAAACAGAAGTAGTGAACACTTACGGGATATTTACTCCATGCCAGGCACTCTTCTATGCTTTTTGTATATTAACTTAAATAATTCAATATGGTTATTATCCTTTACAGCAGATGAGGAAATTGAGACTCCAGAGAAGTTTAAGTAAGCCGTCATCATTCGTAAGTTAAGTTTACAAGTTAAGTGGTCAAGTCAGGATTTAAATATGGAGGTCTGGCTCAAATATCTGTTCTCTTAGCGAGAACAAACAGCCACCTTCTTTGAGAAATATGACATATGAGAAGTCATGGAGAAATTGTTTAAAGTGAGTCAACAGAATGTAGGGTAAAAAGACAGGTTTTGGTATCCAACTCTTAAAAGTTGTGTCACCTTAGAAAGAATTACATCTTCTCTGGTTCTTGGTTTACTGTCCATAAAAATGAGATAAATCTCATACCTTAAAAAAGTCCCTACTGGTAGCAAGAAAAAGAGATGACTTATGGAAACCTTTGGTGGTAGTAGTTCAGTAAAAGATAGTCATTATCATCATTATTCTTTTGAAGCTTGACAGAGTTCAAAGGTTCAAGCCATAAAACTTTCCTGGTTTGTTTGTTTGTTTTGTTTTTAACTTGTCAGTTCTAATTAATGGAGAAAGCAAAATTCTACATTGACAGAGGGAAACTAAAACAAAAGAATTTGTCTCCCTAAAAATGGAGGCTATCAGGTGTGCCTTTACAATAATATACCTGGGACAGGAAAAATATTTTCCATTTTACAAAATTACCCACTTATTGTGAGAAAAACAGAATTACCAACTTACTCTGAGAAAATAAGGTAAATATAAGATTACTCATGGGTTTTCCAAGCTAGCCTGAAGGAAATTGACATTGGTCCCTTTAATTGATGAATGTTTTCCAGTAATTTATCCAAGTACCTGGTTTAACCATGATATGATTGTAAAGAAGTTAGCTGGCTTAGCCAAAGTTACTCAGGTAGTTGGTGACTCAGTAAAGACTAGCATATGTAAACTTCATTAACATATGACGATCCTTTCAAATACCTTTAGAATTCTATTGAGTAATATAAAGAGTTCTAATCTGGTAAAGTAATAATATTTTGTGCTGGCATAAAAGTAAAGAATTTGTATTTTTTTCATTTGTGCTTCTCTTTAATCTAGATTCAAAGCACTTTAAAATTTCTAATTGTATATCAATCAGGGGGAATTTTTGTCATTAATTTTATCCTTAGTGCATTTTGATGGATGATGTGGTCTTTGTGATTTCTGCCTTTTAAAATGTGTTGATCTTTATTTGGTGATCTAGTTAAGTTTTGAGAATGTTTTACATTTGTATAGAAAAAACATCTGTTCTACGTTTGGGGGTGCAAACATACACATAAAGGTGTATCTGTGTATGGTTATATTGCATATGTGTCATTGAAGATTATTTTTAATGGTCTGGGTGCTTCTGCCAGCTGTACCACTTTTCTTCATCCTCCAGTTGGAGTAATTGCAAGGTCTCATGTCTATTTCAAAAAACTTTGGCAGGAAGTGAGACCTGTTTCTATACTTCCTAAAATGTACAATCACATGGGGATGGGGGCAGCAGGTGTCGCGATCTAATGAGAAAACTAGATGATGAATAATGAGACCTACGAACTCGAGTACGTAGTATTGGTCCTACCACAGAACGGGCTTCGTGAGCCTGGACTAGTCATTTTCCCGGTTTCTAGTTCCTCATCTCTCCAAATGGGGATAGTCAGTCATACTTGCGCTGCCAACATTACCTGGCTTGTCAGGAATGCAAATATCATAAAGTGGTAAAGAAAAAATTTAAATACTAGCAGTGGTTGCTAATAGATACAGGAGAAGGAAAAGATAAGGATGGAAAACTGCCAACACAGGCCCCAAGGTGCTCAGGTTCTATTGGTTCTCTTCCCTGGCCCTGGCCCCAACCACCTCCCTTCCACAAGGAGGAACCTCAGTCCAATAACGCAAGCCTCCCTCTAGGTAGCACCAACAACTTGGAACCAGCTTTTGAAGCATGTTGTGGAAATGAACAGAAGCCTTCGTTCCTCAGTCCAGCCAGCCCTGGCCGAGCATGTGCAATGCCTCCTCCTCGGTCAGCGGAGGCCGACTGTCAGATGTTGCCCAAATGCTCATTAATCAAAAGAGGCTTTCTCCCCTGGGCACCCCTGGGTCTTGGGCGGAAAGAGTCTCGGCTACAGAGATATTCAGCGTTGAGAGCCTCAAGGGCCTCTGGGCTCTTGGCAAGCAGCCGCGGCGTTAAATCTAAGCACTCTTCCCTCGGTAGAAAAGGGATCAATAGTGTTCTGGATGCGGGTTTCCAGGATAGATGGTCTTCGCGGTCCCGCACCTCCTCAGGAAGATAATTGCGCGCGAGTGCTGAGCACGCCCGCCCAGGAGCCGCGGGAGCCGCGACACGCGTGTCTGCATCACCGAGCCGCCTCTCAGCACTCTTTCCCCAATTTGCCCTCCTGCTGCAGTCCAGGCCCAAATTAACTCTCTCCACTTGTGAGTGAGCACACACAAGTTCCCGGGGCACGATCCTTCCATCCGCCTCCCCTAGGGAGTCCAGCTTCTCAACGATTAACCTCCCAGCCAAGGGGCGGAGGGAAGGTGGCAGGATGGAGGGAGTGGGGCGAGGAGAGACGTTTTGCACGTTCAAAGGCACAAAAATGTACTGCCAACGCTGAAAGGGTTTTCTTTTCTTCGGTTTTTGACAAACAAATGGAGTCGGATACCTGCTCCGCCGGCTGCTGCCCGGGCCGGAGCCCTGGGCTCACTTTGCAGCCCGCTGCTGAGTTTCACACCGCAGTCCGGCTTGGTCCGCTGGGCTTCGGCGCCTTGCCTAAGTCTGCGGATGGATGGATGCACCCCGGGCACAGGCTTTCCCTGGGCGGCTTAACGTTGGCTTGGGCGAAAGCCCCAAAGCTTCCACCTTGCGCCGCCTGTTTATCTGCCCCGCCCCCACCCCCAGCAAAGGACATGCCCCTTTGATAGTGTCGGGGCTCCCAGCCCGAAGAGAGAGGAGGGCGCCTCCCCATCCCCGCCACGGCTTGGGGTTTTACTGCAGCAGCCTGAGGTGACAGCGACGCCTTTAGCCTCCTCGGCTGCTCTCAGAGCCCTGGCTTCCCTGCATCCGGAAAGCGCTCCCACCTGAGAGGCTGATCCTGGGAGAAGAAAACCAAATTAAAACATGTAGAAGTCGCTGGGCTGCTTTCCTCCGGGGATGAGCCATATCTCCCAGGACTGAGTGGCAGCGTGGGGGAAGTTGGGACCGTAGAGCAAAGGGGGAGGGGAGTGGTGCAACCAGCATTCTCTTCTGGAAGGAGTCGCTGGGAGCAGTGCGGTTGGACCCAAGTTTGCGTGGGAGTGTTTTCCTTTTGTCAATAATTAATCGCCGGAATCAGTCTGGCAGAATTGGAGTTTTGGCAATAGTGCAGACCGCGGGGCCGAACACCCAACTCTGGGAAGCTCGGAGGCGCCCAGCGCAGTGGGAAGCTCGCAGCACTGGAGGGGCGCCAAAGCGTCGGTGCTCACCCAAGCCGCAGGGAGATACACCCAACCGGGAGGTAAGCACCTTCCAAAACAACTGCTTGCAACGTAAACTAGCTTCAGTAGGACAGAATTTGTCTTTATAGGGGAAAAATAATACCAAGCTTCAATGCAATTTATCAGTTTATTATTTAACGACATTAAAATTTTAAGAATCGAATGGGTTTTTCTGTTTGCGTTTATGTTAGAAGCTAAGATGCATCACTCAACAGAAACCAAACTTTATTGTTGGAACTTCCCAAGCCAAAAGAAGAGAAAATGGCTTTGTAAATTACTTCCATTACTTATCTTTGTGAGTTCAGTAATAACTAGTGAGAGAAATATTGGGAGGTGCTTGGTTTCATTCTTAAATATTCATCTTTATCTGGTTGCATGCTCTTATACAATAATTTTTGCCCATAAGCTACTTCAAGCCATAATACACACAAGTCAGCCACCCCAAAAGATGAATTTCCAAGGAATACCTTTCAACATTGTCTCATGATTATTAAGCAGGATGTATTTCCTCAAAAATGCTTAAGTGGTCATTCATAAGTAACCAGACTTCTAACTCCAAGAAGAAAGATACAGTAAACTTTGCTGTGGAATGTGTGGGATAGAGGAGGGTTTTAGATATGAACAGAGATTCTAGGTCTGCTTCAACTAAAGTGACATTCAACTGGTTGGCAATTAACATATGAGCTCTGCCCATACTCAGATAAAGAACTTGAAGAATTGTTAAATGTAAATCTTAACCCTAACACTACAAATAAATGCATCAGGGAAGTTGGGAAAGTTGTTTTTCTGAAAGACTTTGTGTCATGGTAAGTTTTTTGAATTAAACAAAAATTAAGAAATACATGGTCGTTTTTGCTTGGGAACTTTTTATATTAATGCATAAAATTAACGTGGTTTTACTAACTTGATTTTCACATCTGAATTATTCCTACGCTTTTAAAATAGGCATCAGTTTGAATACTGTTTAATAGTTGTGGTGGCTTTGTACATAGATTACTAGAGCAACAACAAGCTCTCATATGAAACGCACTGTTGTCCTTATTCAAATATTTCTATACAGTTATTGAATAACAATAAATTAAGAATGGTTTATCAAACCAAATGCATAGGCATTCTAGAATCTGATTAGACATGAAGTGGAAAGTCAACCAGCCCTCAGCTTCAATCAGTTTTCTTAATCCACTGTTTGTAAATTTGAAAATACTTTTGTAAAAACTGTCCTTCCTAATTCTTCATCTACTATGTCAACATAAACTTTTACCACCAAGTATACAAGATGCAAAATCTTCATTAAAAATTATCCACATGGGACTCAACTTGCAGAATGGTGGTATGTAGAGCTCCAGGGATCTACTCTTCAGCAACATAACAATAACTGCTGAAAGTCATAAACAACTATTCAGTCTCTAGAAATTGTCCTGAAAAAATACAACAAATGAAGAAAAATGTATTCAAGACCATTTACTAAATTTCAGTAAGAACAGCAGGAGCCTGTGGCATTTGAGGCTGGACCCACTTCCTTGCCCCTGTCCAGGAGAATATGATGGTATTCCACTCCAGGTGGGTACAACCAAGAGCACAGGGCTCCATCCCAACCTCAGTCCCAGTCTAGGGCTATGATATATTTCTGGGAAATGCAGGCCGCCGGCATCTCACCCACCCAGCTTTGTGCTACAGAAGCTCTCGTGTAGCAAGAGCAGGTGAGAGGTCTGAGGCTCCCTTCCTCTAATCATCTCCCATTCTTAAAGCAAAAGAAGAAAAGCTCAACAACTAAAAGACAAATAACCCATTTACAAATGGGCAAGGGATTTTAGACATTTCCCTAGAAATAGGATTTCTCCAAAGAAAATGTACAGATGTCCAATCAACACATGAAAAATGAGCTTACTATCATTAGTTTTTAGGGAAATGAAGATCAAAACCACTAGATACCACGTCACACCAACCAAATGGCTATAATAAAAAAAAACATATAATAACAATTGTTGGAGACGAGGTAGAGAAATTGGAACCATCATATATGGCTGGTAGGAATGTAAAATGTTGAGTTGCTGTGGAAAACAATTTGGTAGTGCCTCAAAAAGTTGAATATAGAGTCACCGTATAATCCAGCCATTTTATTCCTAGGTATATATCCAAGAATTGAAAACCTATGTCCATGTAAGAACTTATTCACAAATGTTAAGAGCATTGTTACTCAGAACAGTCAAAAAGTGAAAACAACCCAAGTGTCCATTGACTGATGAACAGATAGATAAAATGTGATATGAAATGGAACAATGCAATATTATTCAGCAGAAAAAAGGAATGAAGTACTGATATGTGGTACAGCATAGATGAACATTGAAAAGATTATGCTAAGTGAAAGAAAACCACGTACTGTATATTCAATTCATATAGCATACCAGAAAAGGCAAACCTACAAAGACGGGAAGTAGATTCATGGTTGCACATGGCTGGAATAGGGGTAGAGTTGGGAAAGAAAGGGGAGTAACTGCTAAAGGATGCAAGGTGTCTTTGGGTTGACGAAAATAGCCTAAAATTGACTGGTGATGGTTGTATAACTGTGAGTGTGTTCACACCCATTGCATTGTGCGCTTTAAATGGGTGAATTGTGTGGTGTATAAATTATATTTCAATAAAGCTGTTTTTTTAAATAAATTATCCAAGGTATTAAAAAAAACAGATGGGTTTAGAACTTAGAATTCATGAATCCTCATGTACCACTAGACCAATAGTTTACATTAGGTTTTTTCCCCAGGGTCCCATTAAAATACATGAAATAATTAAGAGTGGCACAGGTGTTACACAGCTATGCGATTTGCATATGTTTACACACTTGCCCAAGCTTTCCTCTGTTTAGAAATAAATCAAATGCCATTAATGCAGTCCTCAGTCCTATAGAGAATTTGCTTGCAATGCCCTATCTTTTTGGACTCACCCACTCATATGAATTCAAGCCCAGTGTGGCCTGTTGTCCCTCCTGCTCTGAGGTAAGTCTAGTCCTTTATCAGTTCTTCAGGCCAGTTGTTGAGAGGCCACACCAGACGAGAGAGGGAGGTTGCATGACACTCAGATTAGCCTGATTTCCCTTACACTAGATTGGCCCAGGGAAGCAGGGGTCTTTGGGGAAAGGAAGAGCGGAAGCTGCCACTGTCGTCCTCAGAGCACACCAGCATGTCATTGCTGGGATGCATCTCCTGGGATTGTGACAACTTCAACTACACGAGAAGCGCCCCAACCATTACTATACTCTCCTGTTCATCTTCTGTGTTTTGAGTTCCCATAAAATGTCTGATGCTGGACTAAGAACCATGGAATTGGATGATAATCCTTTGTCCAGAAACGGGAATATAAAATCAGCGACTCTCTGAGTTTCATGGGAGTGGTAAGCAGCTCCTGAAATTGTGGCCAGGAACAGTTCGAGTACACTGAGCCAAACCATACCCTTCGCTTTAGGGACTCAAGTAAGTCTACCTGCATCAGGAGACCTCAAGATTTTCCTTTCTTGGCAGCATGAGCTTGTCTTTCCATGTATATGTCTAGAAGAGCATATCATGCTGATGAAAATGGGCTCTGTGTGGTTTCTAACCATCAATTCCTTTATAGAGGTCCCATGACTATCATATTTTGTCCCATTAGATTTCTATAAAATAATTTAAAATGTCCAACCAGTTGTCTCTAAATTAAATACATGTAGGAAAAACTTGATCATACTTGTTATTTATTAATACTGCTTTGATTGGGATTAACAATTCATTTATTCAACAGATATCTATCTATTGTGCGTCTACATTATACCCCTAGGACAATTCTAGGCCCTGGATGAATAATAAACAAAAGAAGCAAAAATTTCTGTTCTTCAGGAGCTTAAATTTTAGAGAAGGGATGTCAGAATAGACTAGAATAGAATAAAAATAATAAGTGAATTATATAGCATATGAGAAGGAAATAAGGCTCTGGAGGAAAATTAAGCAGGGAAAGGGAATGAGTACAGTTTTAAACTGTGGCATCAAGCTAGGAAGTAAAATTAGGTAATTAGATGATGTAAAGATGGTGTACAGAGCTGGCAACGTGACTCTGAAATAGGCTGTGAGGATTACAAGCTCTGAGTTAACTTCTCCCCGTAGGTGCTTTGGTTTCCCCTTCCCATCAGCATTATATTTTTACCTTGGATTTGCTGCTGCTTCACTAAGGAAAATATGACCTTAGTCCCAACACATTCCAAGCAGGCACAAAGAAGACATAATATAATACCTGCTCTACAGCTAAGAACTACAACCTAAATAAAACACTGCCTTATAACAAAAATTCTTGTAGAGGGAAATCATTAGCCTGGGCTTTCAGTGTTGTGTTGGTCTTTCTCACTTTGCCCGGATTCTGGCAGTCCGCCAGAGGATTGTGTGGTAAATAATTAAGAACCACTTTCCCCAAATTAACACCTTTTGAAGCGTGAAAAGGTGGGGAAGAAAAATTTCCAAGCCACCCTGGAAAGATGAAGGGAGAACAAGTATTTCATAACTACAGAGCAGAGCATGGAATCCCACAGATCAACTGGAAAAAAAGAGGGAAAAAGCAACCCGTCTCCACTTTTCCAGGCTGTCCCAGAACCTCGATTCAGGGCACACACCTGTATTAAAAGATACTTGTGGACACATTGTTCTGGTAAAATACATTGGGTGTGGCAGCTTTCTTGGAATAGAGCTTTTAGAAAATGGCTTTAAAGGGAGCAGGGACTTGATTTTTTTTTTTTTAAGTCAAAAGGGAACATTTATTTCAGGCTTAGAGGATAAGCATTTAAGGATATTCAGAGTCAAATTAGAAATAAATTAAAAAGACTCCTTGTTATAATGGAGTTATTATGGGGCATTAGTATTTTCATTTATTCAACAGATTTTAATTGAGCAGCCACTATGCCAGGCGCCAGGGGGGACAACACAAAAGGAGGACCTTGTTTCAAAGACCTTTCTTCCTAGAGGTTACATTACATGCCTTTTGCTACAAAATAGTTGAAGCACATAGTGATAAGGACAAGAACTCTTTGACCTGCCTGTCCTAACACCCCCTTCCATACTGGGTTAGCGCCTCCTATGCCCTAGCATACCTTCCACTTCCCTGTCATGGGTAAGTGATTAGTAAGAGATAAGTCATAACACTAATCACAGTGTGGGCATACTTGCATAACTGTCCCTCCTCCTCTCTAGAAAGTGGCCTGAGGAGAGTGACCATGTCAGTCTTACTCATAGTTTATATTCCTAGTAGATGCTTGTTGACTATTTGATTGGATGGATGGATGGATGGATGGATGGATGGATGGATGGATGGATGGATGATTTGCCAGGTTATGATCAGAGCTCTCTGCATGGAGAGGCAGTCTGGCAGAGTAGTTAAGAGTGTGTGCTCTACATCAGCTTTGAGAGTATAGGGTCAGTTTTTAAATTTCCCAATGCCTCAGTTTCCTCATTTATAAAATGGGTGTAGAAATAGTGCCTCCATTATAACATTAAGTGAACCGCATATGGTAATACATAGAAAGTGGTTAGCAAAGTTCTGGCTGCTACTCAATAAGTATCTGCTACTATCACCAGTATAGAAGGGCAGTTTCCTGAGGGATGGTTTGCTATGCAAATATTGCATACCTGCCCTTTCAGCTTTATTATAAAATCCAGGGATGTCCATTTGGAATTTCAAGCTCAAGTTATCACTTTGAGTTCAAGATCTCTAAAAAGATTAGAAAGAGAATTTAGGAATGAATATAATAAGTAGGATATTGCACAAGAAAATAAAAAATACTAGAAAAAAAGAAAGAAGGATAAAAGCTCAAAATGGCGTGTCCAAAGCAAGTTTTCTGGAGCAATATAATGTAAATACCTCTGCTGTTCTCACACCCACATCCCCCCACAGACAGCCAAAGCACCAGCTCATCTCTATTCTGGAACATACTTGTTGTGCCTCATAGAATGTCATGCCCACTAAGCATAAATAAATGTTCACTGATACAGAAGAAGAAAGAAAAGTGAAAACAAAAATTCTTACCTAAACCTAAGAGTGTTATCTTTGTTCCTTTGGAAAATCAAATAATCCTCTTTTTGTGTAAGACCTTTAATCAGAAGTATCACACTGCTTCCTCATATGTAGTTATCTATTACCTTCTAAATGAGATAAAATACCAACCTGTGACCAACTGATGGACACCCAGTAACTTTAATGCTTCCCTCTACTTCCAGCAGAGAGAATTCACTTGGCCTCTTCCCCAGCCATGGGGGAAACCTCATGTTTTTTATCTTCTCCTAAGAATACCAAACTGCTTTTCCTTTATTAATTTGTCCATTGAAAAGTAATTTTTAAGCAAAAGTAGCTTACTGTACCTTTATTGACAGAAAAAATTAGGCATAGAAAGAGTATGCAACTGACTCTAATACTTCAGTTACCAACTCTTTTTATTCCTTGAAGCTGCAGATACTCTACTCCACAGGGATAGCTTGGTCCTTACATTTTTAATAGGATGTTTCATTGCCTAAAACTTTAGACAAAGAAAAAAAATCAATCAAGTTGGCCTAGGTCTGGTTTTGATGGACAGAAAAATCAGGTTGTAATGTAGGACAAAAAATTGTTCTGCAGGTTTCCTCCATTTAGGAGGGAACAAACGCTGATGCCAATGCAAAACAAGTGATATGGCACCCCTGTGACATCAGGGATGAATTCTTTTTCCCAGACCAATGGGTGTCACCATTTTACCCTCTGACATCATACATCTCTGAAGGGCTCAACAGAGTCACCTGAAAAAAAATCTCTTAGAAGGAGAGGAAATAAAATGCATGTAGAAATAGAATGAAGAATGGAGTCACTGTGGCCAAGCTGCTAAATTGTTAAAATTAAGTAGGCTGAGGAATGAAAACCAATTCTATTCTTGCTTTAACTAGCCTGGGAATTTAAACCTTTGAACCTTCCAGTTGTGCCTGGAGATATACATGTATAAAGCCTAAGAAAATAACTCTCTAATAGTCACTGAAGGACTTAGGAAAAAAAACTTTACATGACCAGACCACCTGGCATCTGTCTGGACCACCTGACATTTGGCTGATAAACATCCTGGACCAATCCAAGGGTCAAGTATGCAGGACTGATTATCCTCAGGAGGTGACTTTTACAATAAGGACTCTTAACTTTTCTTTTTTCTTTGGAACATTTCTAGGTTTTGCTAACTGTGTTTCCAGTGTGCAAACTCTAAGACCCTTGAATATATCTTTATCATTTATTTCTAGCCAAGCCTCCTGATTCATTTGTGCTGGGTCGACATTAGAAAATAAGAGGGACAGATAACGATTATGATAAAAGCAACCCTCTGAAGGGGTTGCCCAGTATCTGCTCGAACAGTTTCCCTAATGGAATTCTCACCACTTCAACTGGCGAACCTCTTTCCCTTCAGATAGTTCTTATTGTTTAAAATTTTTTCTGAGATTCACCTCTGAAAACAATAAAACAACTCCAAACCTTCCCCTCTACACCAGCCCATAACACCACTTAAAACCACGTCTTGCATTTGATTTCCCACTGTCCAGACGTTCTCCATCTAGCTTCCTGTGGATGTGCTCAACTTGCCGAAGTGACTGTTTTTAATAGCTGGAAGAAGGATGCTAAACAGAGCCAAGAGCTGTAGTTCTCGTCTCTCACCTGTGGCACAGTACTCCTATAAATATATAAGAATACTAGGGCTATGGCCTGAATGTGTCCCCCGCAAATCTGTATGTTGAATCCTAACTCCCAAAGGTAATGATATTAGGAGGTGGGGCCTTTGGGAGGTGCTGAGGTCCTAAGAATGGAGCCCTCACAAATGGGATTAGTGCTCTTATAAAAAAGGCTCCGGAGAGTCCTTGCCTGTTTCATCAGGTGAGGACACAGCACGAAGGTGCTGGCTATGGACCAGGAAGAGGGCCTTCCCCAGGACGCAAGCATGCTGGCGCCTTGATCTTGGACTGCTTGGTTTCCAGAACTGGGAGAAACAAATGTTTGTGTTTATAAACTACCCAATCTGTGATATTTTGTTATAAAAGCCAAATGGACTAAGATAATTAGATCACTTTATTTGCCAACCATAACATAACACCACTGGTTCCTAATAAACTTGAAGTCAAAGAAAATTCCTTAGTCTTTTTTACTTAAACTGAGAATAAGCCACATTTTTTCCCCCAGCTTACCCTTGGACAATTGACTTTTTGAACTGAAGAACAAGAGTTTCTGTTTCCCTAAAACTTTTACCCTCAGTCATTCTTGAACTCTGGAAACTGCTAAGTCTTTTATAACTCCACCCCATAACTTGGGTTCACTGGCAAATTTGATCACCCCTACTTTCTGTGACTTAATTCAGATGGACAAAAATGCTACAGTGGTCGGGACAAAATACATAGCTATGCTGGGGCTCACCACCAAAGACCCACTCATCATCTTTACCGTGCTTCTCCAATTACAAAACACTGCCCAAAACAGCATTTCATTTAATGCTTAACGACTACCCTATGAATAAGATATTATCATCATTCTATATGTGATGACAAAGTTCAGAATATCTGACTTGCCTAATATGACACAGCTGATAAATAACAAAACAGGAAACAAGCGTTAGAGTTTCTGATTCTGTTTCCAATGCTTTCTCAAAGATCGATTTTTAAAAGAGTGATTAACCTAATCTATTTTTCCTTTTCTTCCCCATGGATATCAAGAGAGACCAATTAAAATCAAGAAGCATTTTCTACAAACAAAATATCACCCCAAAATCCAGTATCTAAAACATTAAAAGCAGGCTGCTCTGATAGAAGGCGGGAGACTCTCAGCCTCATCTCTTTGTTCCACCTGGGGCCTCCCTTCAACCCTGCCATACATGGTGATGGGATACCTTTAGTTCTTAGAGTACATTGGGAAGTCACTAGCCAATGGCATGCCCTCAAACTGGAATGATTTCTAAAAATAAGGCGAGCCTGTCATACCTTGTTTTTATAATACATTCTAAAATTTTGTGGGAGAACATCCATCTAAGAAGTTTAATAACCTTTTACATGGAACAGAACTGTTTTAAAATTTGAAAGCATCTTTTTGGCTTTATTCAAATATCTATTTCACAGATGAAGAAACAGCAAAGCAAAGAGAAGTAACCCATACAAGACCATTCCGTCGGGGAGTAAGAACAGGAACCCAAACCTGGACCCTCCTAGGCAGGTAAGTGCTTCTGATTGTATCATGGAGTCTCACTTTTAGAAACCTAACCCCTTTGAATACAAGACAACATCTTTAACAAAATGAAGCTTCTGGCTCTCGCTTAACCAACCAACAAACATTTATTATATACTTGATATTGTAATGGCATTTAAGATGACACAAAGGAGTAAAATGTGGCAATTAGCTTTAGTAATGAGGCCTTAAAAGAGTGGTTCTTAGTTTAGAGGCTGCTTTGAAGTCTATTCAAAAAAGTGTTTATGTATATATGTCAAGGAATTCATAGATGCTCCGCCCCTCCCCCCCTACCCCAAAGTTCTTGGCCTCCAGGTAAGAACCTCTGGCCAATCCCAGTACAAGTGCCAATATCAAGATTGCATAACACTAGCTACTATCTTATTTATGGGTCTGTTGGTTAAAGGCTGCTTCTGTTTCGGCATCCTTCATTTTTTATTTAAATGGAGCAGCATCTTATCCTGGAAGACCTTTGATGCCAGAAAAGCATAAATGTTTTAAGAAGTTATTAGTTAACCAGATGGGACAAATTAAGGGAGAAATATGATCAAATGAAAACATTTTCTTTCAGAAATGTTAACAGTGAAAGTGAAGATGGTCAGTGTTCATAAACAGGACATTCAATTTCTTTCTGTTTCTTTTATTTTTAAGAAAGAAAGACAAGGAAATAGAATGAAAAAAAAATTACTATATCACCACTAGCTGCCAGCCCACTTTTGTTACATTGATAGCAAATGGGGAAAAGAGTGAGGGGTGTGGACAAAAAGAAATAGATTTATCTTCTGAATGATTGTTTCTTAATCCTTCCCTTTTGCTATAATCTTTTAAGAGATTTACGGTTCTGAAATGGTTGGCAACAATTTCTTCATTTCAAAATAGTTTGGGCAGCTTTAGTATTACTTTAAAGTTATTGATAACAAGGCTTGATTTTACTTATTCAAACAACACTTGTTGGGCTGCATTTTTAAAGCACTGCTGCCGGAGGCAGTGTGGTGTGATAGAGGATGCAGGACTGAATGAAGCCCAGTGTTCTTTCCTCCTTGGCTTTTGACAAGAAACAAGGTACAGAAACTGCATAAGCCCCAGTTTCCTCATCTTTGACATGAGGCAATATATTTTTTTATCTCCTTTATGACAGCCACACTGGAACTGAATAAAATATCTGAAGAATAATCTCAAACTGGCTTCTAATTTGATAACTGATAAAGTTCACATGTTCTGCCTTAAAAATGATCTCACGCTCTTTTATTCTTTGCCTGGTATTCACAGCCTTAGCAATAGTACATTAGTATAATGTGTAGTCATTATAGCAGTTAACATTCATCTAGTCCTTCCTATGTATTATTCTAAATATTTAACACTTGTTAATCTTCCCAGAAATTGTATGAGGTTCTATTATCATTCCAATTTTCCAGTTGAGGAAATGGAGCCCAAATAGCTGCGGGACTTAGCCAGGGTCAAACCCAGGGTCAAAGCCAGAGCTCGTTACTACTCACCACGCTGCCTCTGGCCAGGATTCTCACCCAGCTCCCGATGTGTCCACTGTGGGACTGTGGGCCTTGTTTTCATCTTTAAAATAGGAATCATTTGATAAAAGAAAACAGACATTAAGCTCCTGGACACTGGTCTCAGAGGTAGGTATTTTTGTGACTTTGATTCCAAAGGCTTTTTGTGACTTTGACTCCAAAAATAAATGAATGGAGCTACATCAAACTAAAAAGCTTCTGCACACCAAAAGAAACCATCAACAAAACAAAAAAGAAACCAAATAAATGGGAGAAAATATTTGCATATGATACCTCCAACAAGGGGCAATTATCCAAAATATGTAAACAACCCATACACCTCAACAACAAAAAACCCCAAACAATCTGATTTAAAAATGGGCAGGGGATCTGAATAGACATTTTTCCACAAAAGACATATAGGTGGCCAATAGACATATGAAAAGATGTTCAGCAATCACTAGTTACTAGGGAAATGCAAATCAAAATCACAATGAGATATCACCTCATACCTGTTAGAATGGCTATTTGAAAGAGACAAGTAATAACAAGTGTCAGAGAGGTTGTGGAGAAAAGGGAACCCTCACACACTGCTGGTGGGAATGTAAGTTGGTACAGCCACTATGGAAAACAGTATGGGGGTTCCTCAAATCATTAAGAATAGAATTACCACATGATCCAGCATTTCCTTTTTTGGGTCTTTACCCAAAAAATATGAAAACACTAATTCGTAAAGATATACGAGTATGTATCCCTATGTTTACTGCAGCATTATTTACAATAGCTGAGATGTGGAAACAACTTAAGTGTCCACTGACAGATGAATAAAGATGTTTTATATACTGAGGGTGCCAAAAAACTGGATACACATTTTAAGAAAGGAAAAAACTGTATTAAAATTGTAATAATAAATACCAATAACAAAAGATGAATACAAGTCACGTTTGACTTCTACAATTACAAGAGGCGCTCAAAGTGGTCACCATCAGTGTCCAGACACTTCTGATGACGGCGAACCACTGCTTGAGCAACGTTGACCAAAGTGTCCACTTGTATATATTTTTTTGGCACCCCTGGGGTATGTGTGTGTGTGTGTGTGTGTGTGTGTATGAAATATATGTGAAATACTATATCAAATACTGCCATTTGTGACAAATATGGATGGACCTTGGGAGAATTATGCTAAGTGAAATAGCTCAGAAAGAAAAGGATAAAAACCATATGATTTCACTCATGTGTAATATAAAACAAAAAGTAACAAATGAACTAACAAACAAAAACAAACTCATTGATACAGACAACAGAATGGTGGTTACCATAGGGGAAGAGGGATAGAGGGATGGAGAATTGGATAAAGGGGGTCAAATATATGGTGACAGATGGAAACTAAATTTTGATGGTGAGCATGCAATAGAGTATACAGACATCAAATTGCAATGCTGTACACCTGAAATTTATATAATGTTATTAACCAATGTTACCTCAATAAATATAATTTAAAATAGGAATCATTTAAATTAAGCACTTAGTCAGTGCCTGCCACAGTGGTACTTAATAAATGCTGTTTCTGTTCCCTGAAGAGTTCTGCATGATAAGATTCTAGTGTTTTTAAGGACAAGATCTGAATTTGTTTCCTAGGGTTGCTGTAACAAAGCACTGCTACTTTGGTGGCTTAAAACAAGAGAAATGTATTCTCTCACAGTTTTGGAGGCTAGAAATCTGAAATCAAGGTGTCAGCAGGGCTGCACTCCTTCCAGAGGCTCTAGGGCAGCGGTTCTCAACCTTCCTAATGCCACAACCCCTTAATACAGTTCCTCATGTTGTGGTGACCCCCAACCATAAAATTATTTTCGTTGCTACTCTATAACTGTAATTTTGCTACTGTTATGAATCATAATGCAAATATCTTTTTGTTTTCCAATGGTCTTAGGTGACCCCTGTGAAAGGGTCATTTGACCCCCAAAGGGGTCGCGACCCACAGGCTGAGAACCGCTGCCTAGGGGAAAATCCTCTAGTGTCTGTTCCAGCTTCTGACGGCTCCAGGCGGTCCGTGGCTTATGGCTACATAACTCCAGTCTCTACCTCCATCTTTGCACGGCCTTTTCCTCTGGGTCTCTCTCCTGAGGACACCCGTCATTGGATTTAGGACTGACCTGGGTAATCCAGGATGACCTCTTGCTGAGATCTGTAACTTAATTGCATCTACAAAGACCCTTTTCCCAAATAAGATCACATTCACAGGATGTGAACATATCTTTTGGTGGGGGAGGCATCATACAATACCTTAATCCAAATATTTTTATGTCTTGGGATATTCCCCCTTGTATTCTTGACAAAGCCCACAAAATTTTTCAAAGAGGGAAAAGAACATTTTATCTCACCCAGTTTAGGCCTGTAGTTAATTTGGTTACAAAATCTGTTGGTTGAAAATATTTTTCTCATATTCCCAGTTGTCATTAGCCTTCTCCACATTTACTTGAGAATCAACAACATTTTTAGGGAACAAACAATTGTTACCCATGTTAAAGAACAAGCGTGGAGTTCAGCACTTCTCCGCTTTTCACTACAAGTATACGGGGAGCCATGCACTTGGGATAAGGCGAAAGAATGAAGCCAGCAATAAGTTAACATGCTCTTCCCAGGAGAAGGAGAAATACACTCGGCTAAATTGTCAGTAATATTTTTTCTTTTAGTACAGTGTGTCATTTAAGTAACTCACTTTTAAATACAGTATTACACAATCGCATTAGAATATGTAATTTAATTGTCTAAAAACAAGTTTTGGCATAACTCTATAAACTGCCTTCCCTTCTCTCCTCTCCCCACCTCAACCATCACCCAAATCGCAACTCCAGAAACTAGCTGACCTGGAATGCTAACCAAGCCAGCAGGGAAATGCCCCTTGATCTGGGGTTGGCAGAGAGGACACTTCATAGACAATGCTATGTCTGTCTCCATGACCCTTAGAGCCCGCCCAGCTCTCTCCACTCATTCTCCTAAAAGCAGTGATAACTAAGATACAGCAGCAGGCCAGTTGAGGGCAGTGATAAAGCAACAGGCTATATTGCTATTGCCACAAAACTCACACCTGTGAAAGTGCAGTGTTGCTGGTCACAAAATAGGAAAAACATCGAAGCCATTACCAGGAGTTTTCCAGGCAGTGTAATAAGAAACAAAGAATAGGCCAAAAAATGAGAAGGAGGAAGAAGGGCAGAAAAATAAACAAAAAGGAAAAAGTTTTACGAGCAAATGTATTCAATGTTACAAAAAAAAAAAAAGGGCAAAGAAAACAGAAAATTAGTATTAGACAATACTATTGGAAGAGCCTTGCTTGACCTATATACAACCAGATTTCCTTTGGCAGAGCTCAGGAAACAGGTGCTCAGCAGGTATGCTTTTGACAAATCAGTACTGCAGTGACTCACCTTCCTTGCCCTCAAATTGTTCCTTGGGTGGGGGTGGAGGGGGGTGGGGGGGCAGTCT